GTTGTAGTCTTGTTGTTGGTAATATCCTCGCCCAAAATCGTGGTATCCACATCCTCAGCCTCGATAACCTCTAAGACTCCTTGTGTTGTGTGTCCAGGCATATTGGGTAAATTTCTCCGATTAAATTATATCTTCTATGATATCTCGTAGGTTCGAGCAATCTTCTATGTTATGGCCATAATTTTGATGGTATGCACATTTCTTTGTTTTATCTACATCTAGTGTTGTGAAGGATTGCTCATGGAGGGTGTCAACTCCAAATTGCACACCTCTTGCAAGATGGTTTCACGAGAGGCATTCAATGACGCGTAGTTATCATATCAGACTCTTCACACACATTTGGAATGACTTTTCTCTACCACTTGATTGAGTTCTTCTTCTATGAAGTTCGGTATTTTTTTCTAACTGTATGTAATTCGAGGTTCGTGTTCTTAGCTTGTCCATGTCTTCTGGCCTGTTAAGATACAAGTTCTCTAAGAATTATTTGTTTTGGAAATTGATCATCACAGTATGCATTGTGACAACTAGTTGTAAATTTGGTATAGTAAGGCTAATGGTTCTGAACCTCTTCAAGAACTTTCGTAGTGACTCCTTTTTTCCTTGTCTAATGCTTTTCATAGGCCATTAAGTCAATTGTATGAGGATGACTTGTGGTAAACCAAGCTCTTAGCTTGCTCGCTAAGTTATCAAAGTAGGCAGCGAATCCCTTTGGGAGTTTGTAATACCATTGGAGTGCGATGCCTTTAACTGTAGTAAAGTAAATTCAACATTTGAAGGAATCCTTGTTCGAGTATACCTTAATATATGTAGTCGAATATGCTCTTCTGAGTCTGAGGTTTCGGTGTAGAAGTCGACATGGGGTGCATGCCAATTTTGGGGGAGACGCTCATCGAGTATACCTGGCACAAATGGATGCTCATATTTTGCATGTGTTTGTGCTGGAACTCGAATTAACAAAGTAGATTCATACTCTTTTTCAATTTTATTTGATTCCTTAATTTCTTTCTCAACATTATTTTGTGTGGCTTGAAGTGCTCAGAATGAGAGTGAGATTCTCCTAGTGGTTGCAACTTCGTCTTCGTTTGATGCTATTTTCTTTTACTTCGTTGGTTTCTTGATAATCTCATTGATCTGATCATGAAGAGCCTTTAGTTCTTCTTGTTGTGTTTCCGGTCTCGATCAACTTTTTCTTAAAAGGTTGTTATGGTGCTTTGTATTTCCGCATTAGTTGTTGTTGCAGTTCAACAATGTGAGCCTTAAAGCTTTTGATGAGTGCAATTGGTTGCATGATGTGTGGGAAAGAATAGTTGTTAGGTCGTCTAATCTCCAGGTGAGTGTAGCAAAAGTTTTACCTTGTCTCACGGTGAATACAAAATGTTGTTACTTGGATTAAGAAGGTGTCCGAGCTTACTCTGATCCTTCCAAGTAGGTTGAAAGGAGAAGGGAGATATATGCAAAAAAAAAATTCAATGCTTAAGTCAGTATGTGAGAAAATGATAATTCAATAGATAGATGATAAGGTAAGGAATGACCTTTTATAGAGTAATATTAATATTAACCATTCAAGAGTTAAGATATATTTTCCTTGTTTATCGAGTATTCCAAATTTCTCAGATAATTTGAGATGCTTGCCCAATATCTCAAACACTTGCCTACAATCTCGAATATCTTGGATATCTCAAACCATCTGAGTTATTTAGATGTTTATGTTATTCCCAATTTTAAAGTTTAGCATATATATATATATATATATATATATATATATATATATATATATATATATATATATATATATATATATTTTTATTTTTATTTGTTAAAATTTAATGTATATATTAATTTTAAAATATAAATATTTGTTTTTAAAATTCTTAATACAAATAAACATGAGATATATTTTTTTCAAAAATTCTAGAAAAAAAAATAGGGGATACAACATTTATTCTTTTCTTTCTCTTTATTTATCCTTTTTTTTTCTCTCTTCATTCACTCTTGATTTTTTTCTCTTTTCTCGTCTTCTGTTCTTCTCTCTCTTCTTCCACTCCATTTTAATTTTTTTTAACTAAAAATATTATATTAAAAAAAAACATGCTATAATAAATTTTTGTAAAATCAAAATTAAAAATAATAAAATATTTATTTTAATATATTTTTTGATAAATAATTTTTTTAAATTATGTAATCATTAATCATCATTCAACCTAATTATAACTAAAATAAATTACTAAATAAAAAAATATTTTACTTTTTTAATTAAATGAGTAATTAATTTATTATAATATAATTTTAAAATAATTATTTAATATTATTATATTTTGAATAATTAATTAATATTTTTTTAGTTTCAATATTGATTTTTAAAATATTACTTTAACATGTTATTAATAAATTTCAATCTAATATTTTTAATTAGAAGAATAGACCAAAGAGGAGAGATGAACAAAAAATAATAAGAAGAAAAAGAATAAAAAAAGAAGAAATGAGAAAATAGAAAAAAAAAAGGAGTCAACGAAGAAAGAGAAAAAGGAAAAAATGGGTTGAGAGAAAAACTACTAAAATATGAATAATAAGTATATCTAGTTGAGTAAATAAATTGAAAAATTTTATTTAAATAATTTAAAAAAATATATATTATTTATCACACTAATTCTATTAATTTTAAAAAAAATATTTCATATGTTTACACTGTTAGATTACCTTAATTTCTTAAATCATTTTGATTTTCCAATCTAATTTACCTTTATTAGATTTTGTTATTTCATAATTTTATATTTTATTATTCTTATTTATCACATATAAAATTTTATCTTAATTAAATAATTACAATTTTTACATTTTTTAAAATTGACACAATTATAACTATTATATAATAATAATAATAATAGTACCATAACTATTTTATATTAAAATAAGTATTTCTTTTACAAATATATTTTAATTTATAAATTTAAAAATATATTTTATATATAAAAAATTATTAATTATCGTAAAAAAATTTCGACAAATTAATTGAAAAACAAATATTTACAGATGAATTTTACTAATAAATATGTATTATATAAGAAATTTGTATTATCAACGAAAATAAATTAACAATTCATTATAATCAATCTATATCTGTCCGAAATATTCGCAGACAATAAAATTTTGGAAATAAAATCATCTACGAACATTAATGATTTTACTTACAATTTTTTTTCGAAGGAAATTCATGAATAATTTTATGTATTATCTACTAATTTTGGATAATTTAGATTTTTTTCTCTTGTTTTCTTGAGTTTTCATGAAACATAAAAATTGCTTAATTGATTTAATTAGAATAATTAGATAATTGAATTTGAATATATCCCTTGAGAGTGAATTAATATAGATTATTGTGTTTTTTTTTTCTTTTCTTATCTCTTATAAGTTATATCTAAATCAAACCTTTTATTATATGTGCTTGGAAAGTTAAAGACATTAAAATTGAGTTAAAATATGTATTATCTTCTAAATTATTTTTATTTAGAGAAAGTAATTCTGTATTTTTAAAAATCTTTAAAAAATAAACTTTTTTCAGCTTTTATTTCTAACATTAGTTAATGACGCTATACATGATTTAAAAATTGCAAATATATATTAAATAAGATTCATTGCATATTAAAAACAATTGTGTCATCAGTTATTTTAAATTATTTTTAAAAATATCAAGTTTATCAAATATTTTTACCTTTAATTTTAATAATATTTTGTCTTTAACATATATTATTCATAATACTAAATCTTTTTTTATATTTTTAAAATCTAAACTATTTATGTATTTTTAATTGCTTATCTGGATTAAAGGTTAATCTTTTTATCTGTAAAGTCCCACAAAATTCAAATTTCATATTTGATCTTAATATATTAATTTTAAATTAAGTTTACATTTAAGAATTTTTAATATTTAATTTTTCTAAGAAATATAAAATTCTTTTCTTTTCTTTTTCATATATTTGATTCTAAAATTTTTATTTTTGAATGTTATGGTGAGATGATTGATATGGCAATTTTTTGTAACAGTCGAATTATATTTGTGTTGTTGGACATTGAAAAAAATATAAAACTAATATTTTTATTAGTAAGTATTAGGATAAGATAATGTCATTAATAAACTCAAAATTGATTTACATAATTCACATAACAGAAGAGGTACAAAATTTTAAGTAATCTAAAATTTATGTAAAAAAAATTATTAAATTCATAATATATAGGGTAATGTGGTTCAGCCAACCACCCATTAGTTCAATTAGTAATCACTTAGTCAAATATTTTGACATGATCATGACCAAACACGAGATATAATAGGTGATAATCTTTTTTTTTTTTTTCATATTTTTGTAATGGACCTTGATAATAGTGACTAAAAAAAGTGCTTTTTAAACAATAGAGATTAAAAATGTGAAAAAAAATAATTTATTGCAAGAAAAAAAAGACGCTAAATACTTTTGTTGAGAAGTATTTCCCACGCTCAAATTTTAAAATAACATTATTTATGCAGCAGCAATTTAGACGTAAGGAGAGGATAAGGAGAAGAGATAGGAAAAGAGAAGAATATAATAAATTATTTTATAAATAAAGGCAAATATTCTTGCATTAGAAAACATGGTATGAACCATGAATGAATCCATGATCATTGATTTACGTGCTCAACTGCCATCAACCTTTTTTCATGGAACATTCCCAAGTGGTTGGGTTTCTGTCAGTGGCAGAAAATTGAAACCAAAAGGTTGTATGGAGTTGTTTGGATTAGACAAATCCCAAATAATGAAGTGTATGACATTATTGCAACCTACATGTACCATGATTATTATTACGACAATTTTGGAATGTCTATATTATAGACACGCAAGGTGGCCCCTATAATATGCAAGTAATGAATCCATAGTTTCTTTCCACAATTATCATTGTCCACGTTCTGTTCTCCACTTGGGTTCCTCTGCTTCTTCTTTTTCTGTGTTTTCATTCATTCATTCATCACAATGGGAAAGAAGAAGAAGAAAACTAAGACAATGCCAAATCCAATGGACTGTATACCGAAATATTCTCAACACCCAAGAAGCTCACCACCCAAACGCCGCACAGATTTCTCTGTTTTTAGATGCACTCCCTCATTGTTCAATAAAGGTATTGAATTGCCTAATTTGGTCTATGTTGAATTTGTTCTGGATATAAATTCAATTCACTATAGTATCTGGGTGGGTCTTCAACTTGTGGGGTTAGCTCATTATGATCAAGTGTTGTCTTTGCATCATCTGCTTGTGCTCTACATATATTCTGCTAAAACGTTCGAGTTTCTTTTACAATTGGTGTCGATTAAGTGTTGCCTTTGCATCATCTGCTTCTGCTCTACATGTATTCTAATAAAACGTTAGAGTTTCTTTTACAATTGAGTGTCAATTAAGATCATCTGCTTCTGCTCTACATGTTTTTCTGTTTAAATGTTTGAGTTTCTTTTACAATTGAGTGTCAATTAAGTGTTGTGTTTGCATCATCTGCTTGTGCTTTACATGTATTCTGCTAAAACTTTTGAATTTCTTTTAGAATTGAGTATCAATTATTGACTGCAAAGCTACTGCCTTCAGTGAAGTGCGTATGATGAAGACTTGATTTGTCTGTTTTGTGTTACTATATGAACACCTTTAATGAAACTATAAAATGCCCTTTGGTTGTTTCATGGTCATTGTAACTATGGGTCTTCTTGTTACCGGACAGCAATGGATGATAATTTTCTCCATGAAATTGGTTAGGATGAAAGTTTGGAAGCCTTGAGGATTTTGGTTGTAACATGTATGTAACTTCAGTGTTTGAATGGCTGAACTATGGATCAAATTATATCTTAATGCTGTGGTTTTGGGAAGTTGAATGCTATGGCAATGGCATAAATTAATGGTTTGGTTCGTAATCATACTGAAAGAATTTATAACTGGATGATTTTAGTTCTCCCAGTATGGACCTATTCTGTTGGATGCAAAAGTATGCAGACAATAATGCTTTTGTTGCAGAGACAAATAGGTAACGACACTCTCTGAAATACATCAACAACTTCTTCCTTTAACAATTCATATCCAAAACAACATGCCTCTACTTTATAAAGTTGAGTACCTTCATCGGATAGATGGTTCTCAAACACCTTTCCAAAATTCAAATGATTATTGATTTGATAAAAAAAAAAAAAAAAAAAATGAATTCACTGCTGCTAATTTTGTAGATGTGGTATTCTACCCGTGTTGTTGATTTTTCAATCATGCCAATTTGGCTGAAAATTTGTTGGTTTGTGGTAACTTATTTATTATTTATTTTCTGATACAAACTACTCTCTCAAATAATCCCAAACCCTTAATAATTAAAGGGGTCTTTTTCTGTCCCTCTAAACTCAAGGTTCTTGATCAAGTAAATATTTAACTCAGCTAATTTTGGAGAAATAATCACTTCAATATTGTTGGCTTCCTAAATGAACTTGTAAAAGATGATTGATTAGCTCTCCTGAATGAAGCTTTATCAAACATATGATCCATGTAACAATAAGATTTGAACTACCTAATTCATTGGGATTTGAACCCAAGATTCCTATGTCTATGGTGCCTGAGGTCCTGTTGGTCTTTAAATACTGGAACTTTGCTGAATGTATTCTTAACTTTTCATCTGGTCAACCCTTCCTTGCAGATTCCTCGTCAGATACACATTCTGGAGTCCTTAGATTGTCCAAATTCACTACAAACAAATTACATGAGAGGGAAATGGAAGGAAAACAATTTTCTGATGGTAAACTGGTCCGATGTAGCTATTCCCTTGAGCATAGATCAGTGTGTTCATCTGAATATTCTGATGTTCTGGGTAAGGAAGCTGATTCATCTGTCCAAGATGAACGTCTCAAGCCTGGAAGCAATAGGTTAGACACCTGCTGGTACAAATAAGTTTCCTATTTCTATACAGGGATGCTAGTAATGAAAAAACTAACCCAGATGTATATCCTGTTAATGGCAGCAATTCTCTTTTAATTCCTGGAAGGGTAGTATGGGCTAGAACAGATAATCAAATGTGGTGGCCTGCTGAGGTATATGCAATTATATCATGTCATGTTGCTTGTTTCTTCCAATCTAAGTGCTTGTGACTGTGAATAGACCAATTTGGTATGAAACTTATCTGTAGATGAAGATCTTATAAGCTTGATAATTGAATGTCTGTTGTTGACTCCTTTTCTCTTGATATTTTGGACAAAATTGATTCAATCTGAAAGGGTTTGATTTTACAGAAATTTCACTTATCATCTAGGCGTTACGAAGCAGTATCATGTCTCTATCTTGCAAACTAGAGAACCTACTCTTACAATGGCTAATGATATAATCAACTGAATAAGTTAGACGTCAGTTTAAGTCTCATAACCTCTATCTTCCATCCTTTAACTGTATTTAAATAATGTAATGTAATATAATGCAACTTAACACTTTCTGATAGAAATACAAGAAAAAATAGAAGCATCTCTATTAGAGTTTTTCTTCTCCCCTGTATGTTTTGTCATTTGAGGGCATGTTCTTTCATTATAACTCTAGATGTTAAACTTAGATTTTTAAATTTATTCTTGTGTTTCAATACATATGCAAATTGTTGCTTAAAATTTATTTATCAAAATTTTTGGGAAGAGCTGATTTTTCTTAGTTCTGACATTTTTTTTTGTATGTCGTATATTATTCATTCATATCAAATTTTTATGAAGAGAAAACCTGCATTTTTCAGATCATTGAAGAAGGATCCGCATTGTCTCAGCCAGCCTCTGATGGACGTATTTTAGTGCAGTTTTATGGAAATCGCTCAAGGTATTATAGCTTGTTTTGTCTTTTAATTTTTAAAGAAAAATTGCCTTAGTTATACCTCTAGGGAAGTTTCCTGTCTTTTATTAAACTCACTTTTGTTATGCAATATTACTTTGTCAATTTACAGTGCTTGGATTAATCCAATGACAGATATTTCTCCATTTGAGAATGTAAGTGTAATCCTAATCTTCCACCATACTTCCTCATATATATTCATTGTATAAGTCACTGTTTCTATTTTCATTTTTATAACATCTAAGTGGCAAGCTGATGACGGGCAATGGAGAGAAGAGAAGTGAGAAATAAAAGGTTGGGGGTTCACAACTCAAGTTGTGCACTAATTCAGTAGGCATATTGGAGTTAAAGGGGATGATGGGTTTTACCAATGTTTTGTTAATGTGAATTGATTGCAGATTTTAACAATAATAATAAAGGACATGTTAGAAAAAGAGGCTGAGATCAAGAGGGAGATGGATTGATCTTTGAAAGATTTTCGCAATTTATTGATTATCTATTTCAAAGATTAAGAATTTTGACCAATTCTTGAACCAAGAAAATCAAGCTATTCAAAGTAAGACAGCGACAGAATTAAAGAGAGTAAGGTTTAGAGAAATACAACCAAAATTTATACTGATTTACCAAATCTCAGGGCTACGTCCAGTTCTCAGCCAAATTCCAGCTGAGTTCCACTAGATTGAATGTTTTACAGATTACAGATTCCAATCACACACCCAATCTATCACAAGACCCAAATTCCAGATCTTGTACCTAAACCTTCACCAAGAACTAAATTCCAGTTCTTGAACCAACCTGCAACCAAATTCCAGCTACAGAACCAGTGTCCAACAATTCCAAACACACACCACCCAAGAACCAAGTTCCAGTTCTTGTACCAACTTGCAGCCAAATTCCAACTACAGAACTAGTGCCCAACAATTCCAGACACACACCACCCAAGAACCAAGTTCCAGTTCTTGTACCAACCTGCAGCCAAATTCCAGCTACAGAACCAGTGCCTAACAATTCAAGACACTAACAATACAATAAAGAAATTAAAAGAACAAAGAGAAGAAACTAGAACAATCAAACTCGGATTATACAGTTTTTACATAATGAATTTCTTCACCAAAAAGAATGTAAAAATTGCCTCAAGAAAGAACTTTCAAAAACACCACAAAACTTGCGTGATTCTTTCTTGAAAATAGCTCTTATGATTATTTGATTGATCGTTCAAAAGTATATTTTAAAATGTTGAGTCAAATCTGTTTATATAGAGATTTATTTCAACAACTAGTTTAATTAATCTGTTAAAACAATATTTTAATATGTTAAAATGTTCTTGGTTATTTTTCAGATTTATTTTAACTGATGCGACAACGTTTTAATCAATTAAAACAATTAACAAAAAGTCCCTTAAGTTGTTTTAATCGATTAATATTCTGCCAAAAACTTTCACAAAACTTTCTAAGTAATTTTAACTGATAACAACAAGTTTTAATCGATTAAAACAGTTAACAAAAAGTTCATTAAGTTGTTTTAATCGATTACTTCGATTTTACATCAATTAAAATTATTTTGATCGATCATTTTTTAGATTACATCGATTAAAACTTATTCTGATTGATCATATATGAGATTACATCAATTAAAAAGCTTTTCAAGTGGTTTTAATCGATTATTTCAAAGTTATATCGATTAAAATATTGTCAACACACTTTTCAAAACATCTTAAAAGATTTTAATCAATTATTTCGAATCTATATTAGTTAAAACACTGACAAAAAGTTTTCAAAAACTCCTTTAATGAAAATAATCGATTAATTCGAAAGTGTATTGATTAAAATAGTTCCAATGAATATTTTAAATGATTTTTAATCGATTATTTTGAAAACCTATCAATTAAAATTCTGTCATGTAAGTTTTAAGAACATTTTAATTGATAAAGCTCATATAATATCAGTTAAATCATTTTCATAAAAACATTTTAATCGATTGCTTTGGTTTTTAACAGATTAAAAACATCTTTAGAGGCATTTTCAAATTCTTTCAAATGATAAAACCTCATGCAGCAGAGAGATATGAATGATTATACTTATGTATAGATGCAAATTCACTAATCACTATCAAATCCACAAGATCTTCATTTTATTAAATGATCCAATAAGATCTTCATCACTTTCATGATATACTTCTATAATTGTTTGCTTAAATTTTATATCATCAACATCTCATTTTTTATGCATGAATTTTACTGCAGTCTTTTGAAGAAAGGAGCGCCAACTCTTCTAGAGATTTTCACAAGGCTCTAAAACAAGTATGTTTTAATCTCAAACAGAAATTTGATATATTTTGAGTCTTCTGCATCTTACCATTTCATTTCCCTTGTAGAGTCAATATTTCATTTTTCTTCTCATTTGGTATAATACCAGGCCTTAAAGAGGAAGGAACAAGTTAATTCTTACTTGAGTTCTGATAGGCATTCTCCCTGCAATCAGCAAAATCATTCATGTGGTATGTCCTTCCTGATTTCTACACTGAATCATGTTTCAAATCGGTTTCATTCAGTGAAAGAACCAACTCTAGTATGCTCTAATCTTGCTCTTCTTTTCATAAAGATTCCTATAAATTTATTGGACAGTTTCTTTAACCACTTTAGCCAATCAGTATATTCAAAAGGCTGCAAAAGCATGTTCAATATTATAAAGCCACTACATGGAATAACTTTATTGAACGAATTCATAATTCATAAAACCCATCATTGATGCAATACATATATCATTACACATGTCAAGAGACAATTGTGCTTTTCCAGCCATATTTACCAAACTGCTCAGGATCATGTTGTCTCACGATTTTGAGTGCTAGGATTTTTTTTTTTGTTTCTCACATTCCCTTTTCATTATAGACTTATGATTTGAAGTTTGAACAGATAAATGGACTTCATGCACCTCAAGTACCACAATGGATGATTTTGTATTGAGGGGAAGGGGCAAAAGGGAACGTAAACGCAAAGTTCATTTTGATGTGAGTTGTCACCTCAAAAGTAGATACCATAATCACTTAATATATTTGTTGGGTGCACTAAACAATGAACATTCTTCTGTAGGAGGTGACATTTCCACTGAAATCACAAAAAAAGTCTCGTCGGTTGAAGATAATGCGATACCTTGGCCTTGTTGCCCCAGTTGGCTCTCCATTTTGATCAAGATTTTAAGTAACATGTTGAATTTTTTAAGCTATACTAAGTTCATCTTCTTTTTCCATAATATATGTATATTTCAGAATGGGTTTAAACTAGTCATTGTTTAACACCACCTTTCAGTGTTGAATCTTATATATTAAATATATAATGAATGTTGCATTGACAGCAAAAGGAGTAGAACCATAATGGCTTCAACGGTAAAGTCCCGTTACTCCTACCTTCCTAAAGTTCTTTCTCTAATGATGTGTTTGTTTGAACTGATTTGCGACGAAATACTGTTCACGAAGACAGAAGCACGAGATTCACCCACATTTGGTTGAACAGATTTGCGAAGAAATGCAGGCGAGAAAAAGGGGGAGAGGGGAGAGAGACCTTCTTTGCTAATCTGCGAAGAAAAGAGACGAAAGTCTGCTGGAGATAATGAAATGTCCAACTTACCCTCTTCCATATGATAGCGGTTAAATCTTAACCGCTATTATAATAGCACTTGTAATAGCGGTTAAAACTTAACCGCTATTATATATCACTTCTAATAGCGGTTAAAACATAACTGCTATTATATATCACTTCTAATAGCGGTTAAATCTTAACCGCTATTATATATCACTTTAGATAGCGGTTACGGAGGAACCGCTATTATATCCTCCAATTATGATCGATCATTTCTTAAATCTAATCGATCAGAATCATATTTCGCTCGAGCGAGATATAGTCGCTCAAGCGAAACACAACCCGAGAGCCGAAGAAATTAAAATATGGTTGTATATGATAGCGGTTCCACTGGAACCGCTATCTAATATACACTTTAGATAGCGATTCATGGAGGAACCGCTATTATATCCTCCAATTATGATCGATCATTTCAAATTATGATCGATCAGGATCGCATTTCGCTCGAGCGAGATATAGTCGCTCGAGCGAAATGCAACCCGAGACCGAATCTTAAAATATTTTTTTGAATATTATGTTTTTAAATTTGCTATTAGAGAAAACCTTTTAGAATTCAAAATGTTAAATACTTTTAAATATTAAAATTAACTTTATCAAAAATTAGGAAAACAAAATTTATCCAAAAGAGTTCAAAAATGTATAAGAGTATTCTCAATTTTGAGTTTAATTATATTGTTCATTCTCAAAGTAGAAATTTATATTGTAGTTATTTAATTTACATTTTGTGATCTTCTTAAAATTAGCATCAATAACATTAGACTTTACATTTGATTCATACCTAACTAATTATAGATTAAAAGGAAAGTGGTATAACCATGCATTTTACTTTTCTATTTACCTTATTCTTTTAATTATTTTATATAATAATAATCAAAATATTCACATGAATACGGGCATTTTCGAAAATAATATTATTGGATTATTGTTAAAATTAGCATCAATAACATTACACTTGATCTTCTTAATTATATTGTTCATTCTCAAAGTAGAAAATTATATTGTAATTATCTTCAATTTATTAAAAGTGTAATTAAATCTCTATTTTCTTAATTTTTTTTTGTTTCAAACTTCTCAATTCTACATTTTTGTAACTTCTATGATTATATTATCATCCTCATCTCCTCCCATGTTCTACTTTATCTTTACAATAGTTAATATTCTTAAATAATCTATATTTTTAATTATAATTTTTTAAATATATATTTCAGAAATTAATCAATTCTAAGCTATTATTTGAAAAACTAATCAATTCTAATCAATAATTTAGAAAAATAATCGATTAGAATTAATTATTTGAAAAAATTATGAAATATGATCGATCATTTCGAAAATCTAATCGATCAGAATCATATTTCGCTCGAGCGAGATATAGTCGCTCAAGCGAAACACAACCCGAGACTCAAGAAATTAAAATATGGTTGTATATGATAGCGGTTCCACTGGAACCGCTATCTAATATACACTTTAGATAAGCGATTACTGGAGGAACCGCTATTATATCCTCCAATTATGATCGATCATTTCAAATTATGATCGATCAGGATCGCATTTCGCTCGAGCGAGATATAGTCGCTCGAGCGAAATGCAACCCGAGACTCGAATCTTAAAATATTTTTTTGAATATTATGTTTTTAAATTTGCTATTAGAGAAAACCTTTCAGAATTCAAAATGTTAAATACTTTTAAATATTAAAATTAACTTTATCAAAAATTAGGAAAACAAAATTTATCCAAAAGAGTTCAAAAATGTATAAGAGTATTCTCAATTTTGAGTTTAATTATATTGTTCATTCTCAAAGTAGAAATTTATATTGTAGTTATTTAATTTACATTTTGTGATCTTCTTAAAATTAGCATCAATAACATTAGACTTTACATTTGATTCATACCTAACTAATTATAGATTAAAAGGAAAGTGGTATAACCATGCATTTTACTTTTCTATTTACCTTATTCTTTTAATTATTTTATATAATAATAATCAAAATATTCACATGAATACGGGCATTTTCGAAAATAATATTATTGGATTATTGTTAAAATTAGCATCAATAACATTACACTTGATCTTCTTAATTATATTGTTCATTCTCAAAGTAGAAAATTATATTGTAATTATCTTCAATTTATTAAAAGTGTAATTAAATCTCTATTTTCTTAATTTTTTTTGTTTCAAACTTCTCAATTCTACATTTTTGTAACTTCTATGATTATATTATCATCCTCATCTCCTCCCATGTTCTACTTTATCTTTACAATAGTTAATATTCTTAAATAATCTATATTTTTAATTATAATTTTTTAAATATATATTTCAGAAATTAATCAATTCTAAGCTATTATTTGAAAAACTAATCAATTCTAATCAATAATTTAGAAAAATAATCGATTAGAATTAATTATTTGAAAAAATTATGAAATATGATCGATCATTTCGAAAATCTAATCGATCAGAATCATATTTCGCTCGAGCGAGATATAGTCGCTCAAGCGAAACACAACCCGAGACTCAAGAAATTAAAATATGGTTGTATATGATAGCGGTTCCACTGGAACCGCTATCTAATATACACTTTAGATAGCGATTACGGAGGAACCGCTATTATATCCTCCAATTATGATCGATCATTTCAAATTATGATCGATCAGGATCGTATTTCGCTCGAGCGAGATATAGTCGCTCGAGCGAAATGCAACCCGAGACTCGAATCTTAAAATATTTTTTTGAATATTATGTTTTTAAATTTGCTATTAGAGAAAACCTTCGTAATTCAAAATGTTAAATACTTTTAAATATTAAAATTAACTTTATCAAAAATTAGGAAAACAAAATTTATCCAAAAGAGTTCAAAAATGTATAAGAGTATTCTCAATTTTGAGTTTAATTATATTGTTCATTCTCAAAGTAGAAATTTATATTGTAGTTATTTAATTTACATTTTGTGATCTTCTTAAAATTAGCATCAATAACATTAGACTTTACATTTGATTCATACCTAACTAATTATAGATTAAAAGGAAAGTGGTATAACCATGCATTTTACTTTTCTATTTACCTTATTCTTTTAATTATTTTATATAATAATAATCAAAATATTCACATGAATACGGGCATTTTTGAAAATAATATTATTAGATTATTGTTAAAATTAGCATCAATAACATTACACTTGATCTTCTTAATTATATTGTTCATTCTCAAAGTAGAAAATTATATTGTAATTATCTTCAATTTATTAAAAGTGTAATTAAATCTCTATTTTCTTAATTTTTTTTGTTTCAAACTTCTCAATTCTACATTTTTGTAACTTCTATGATTATATTATCATCCTCATCTCCTCCCATGTTCTACTTTATCTTTACAATAGTTAATATTCTTAAATAATCTATATTTTTAATTATAATTTTTTAATATATATTTAGAAATTAATCAATTCTAAGCTATTATTTGAAAAACTAATCAATTCTAATCAATAATTTAGAAAAATAATCGATTAGAATTAATTATTTGAAAAAATTATGAAATATGATCGATCATTTCGAAAATCTAATCGATCAGAATCATATTTCGCTCGAGCGAGATATAGTCGCTCAAGCGAAACACAACCCGAGACTCAAGAAATTAAAATATGGTTGTATATGATAGCGGTTCCACTGGAACCGCTATCTAATATACACTTTAGATAAGCGATTCGAGAGGAACCGCTATTATATCCTCCAATTATGATCGATCATTTCAAATTATGATCGTTCAGGATCGTTTTCGCTCGAGCGAGATATAGTCGCTCGAGCGAAATGCAACCCGAGACTGAATCTTAAAATATTTTTTGAATATTATGTTTTTTAATTTGCTATTAGAGAAAACCTTTCGAGATGTTAAATAATTTTAAATATTAAAATTAACTTTATCAAAAATTAGGGAAACAAAATTTATCCAAAAGAGTTCAAAATGTATAAGAGTATTCTCAATTTTGAGTTTAATTATATTATTAATTCTTAAAGTAGAAAATTATATTGTAATTATTTTATCTCAAGTTAATGTGATGAGACAATCATCAACATTTCAACAATTGGAGTCAGATATATGAGACATCTTCGTCTCTCCCAGTTGTTCATGTTCTTGAGTGGAAGTGATTGAATGATCTGAATTGGAGGACTTAACTGCAAAAGATGAATAACATTATAATTATTTATTTGAAGAGCATTAGTGTGCATAGGTTTATAATTTTAGTAATGTTTCATTTAATTATTATTCTATTTTCACTTGTATTTTATATTTATTTTAAATAATAATGTACAATTATATTATTAGTTTTAATAATTATTTGTTATTATCAGATCAATATTAATTATTATTTTATATTTTATAATTATTTAATTATTAGTCAAATAATTTATTTAATATGTCAACATTATTTGAATATGGATATGCAATGTACATAATTTTGTAATTGTTTATTTATATAATTTTTAATAACTATCTAAAAAAAGTTAATTTTTTAAATTTGTTTCCAATTACAAACACTTTTAATTTTGTTTTTTCTTTTAAATATATAATCAATGTTAAAATATGGATAATTAATTAAAAATTTATATTTATAATCATTTGAACCTTATTTTATACAAAGGGTAAAATGGTAATTTTCTTAAATAATCAACATAAAATTATAATTTTTATATCTCATATCAATCAAATCATTCACAATTTTCCATAAACTTTCCTTTCACTTTTCAATCATCTCCATTTCTCTTCAAATCCCTCCTTTTCCACTCTCTCAATTCTACTCTCTCAAATCACTCCAACCAAACAAAACCTAAGGAAATGACGTTGACAGCAGAAAGTTCGTGAGGCCAATAAAATATATATCTATGTTGTTTACATGTTAACGTTCATTAAATTAGGGAACTGATCTTTAACTCTTCAAAGAATTTAGTCATTTTTTAATTATTAATAATTTTTATATTTTAAATGTCGTGCATGATATTATAAAATACAGAGAAACAATTATGAATTTTATAAAAATGTAGAAACCAAAAACATTGAGACAAGTTGATATATAAAAATCAGTAGCAGTTATTTGAGCATGAGTAGTTTTGCTTTTGTCAATATCATAATATCTTAAGCATGCTTTGTCGATTTGTCCAAACTAGGTAGGTGTAAGAAAAAGCAGACATAGACTTAATATTATTTCCTTAATATAATATGTTTCTTATGCTTCACACATCGATAATTTATTCTTTGCTTACGTTTTACGTTGTTACATGAGTTTGCTTCACATTTTTCTCTTTTTTTGATGCGTTCAAGAAAGTCGTCTTTCAAATTCAATCATATTACGTATGTTCTAATAAGGATTTTTTTTTTCCACAGTTACTTTAAGATAAATTTTTATGCAGATTTATATATATTTTTCGAGATTGTAATAACAAAATTTAATTGCTAATTTCTATAAACAATCTTTCGTACCAAACATGTCCTTAACGGTTATCATTCGTTTTATCTCTTTTTTACTTACTTTACTACATTATATAAATGGTAAGATGTACTCCCACCATTTTTTTATTTAGCAGTTGAGGCACAAAGGGTGTTTATAAATAAATTCATCTCATCTCAGCATTTTTCATACGAATTGAATCCATTGCAGCAAACCCATCTCCATATACCAATCACAAAATGTCTTCCCAAAAACACAAACTCAACCTTGTCTTGTTTCCTCTGATGTCCCAAGGCCACATGATCCCCATGATGGACATAGCAAAAATCCTGGCACAGCAGGGTGTCACTGTCACAGTGGTCACCACACACCAAAACGCATCTCGTTTCACAGCAACTTTTTCTCGTTCCATTGATTCAGGGTCTCAAATCAAATTACTTGAACTCCAGTTCCCATATCAGGAAGCTGGATTGCCAGAAGGGTGTGAGAATCTTGACATGTTACCTTCACTAGGTACTGGCTTGACTTTCTTCAATGCTGCTAACAGCAACACCCTGAAGGAACAAGTAGAAAAACTCTTTGAAGAGTTAACGCCCCCACCAAGCTGTATAATTTCTGACATGTGTTTGCATTACACAGCCACCATTGCTACCAAGTTCAACATCCCTAGGATCTCTTTTTTGGGACAAAGTTGCTTCAGCCTCTTTTGTATGTACAGCCTGGGAGTTTCCAGAGTTCTGTCAGGCATAACCTCAAAAACTGAGTACTTTGTTCTACCTGGTTTGCCTGATAAGGTTGAGATGACCAAAGCACAGCTTCCAGCACAAAAAACAAGTGAAGAATGGAGACAGTTTTATGCCAGAACTGCTGCTGCCGAAGGGGTTTCTTATGGGGTGGTAATGAATTCATTTGAAGAGTTGGAGGTAGCATATGCAAGGGGTTACAAGAAGGTAAAAAACGGTAGAATGTGGTGTATTGGTCCTGTTTCACTCAGCAACAAGGATGAGTTAGACAAGGCTGAGAGAGGGAACAAAGCCTCAATTGATGAACATTTTTGCATGAAGTGGCTTGATTTGCAGAAGCAAAGGGGTGTGATCTATGCATGCCTAGGAAGCATGTGCAACATAACTCCACAACAATTGATAGAGCTTGGTTTGGCCTTGGAAGTATCAAATAGACCCTTCATTTGGGTTATCAGAGAAGGGAGTCAATTAGAGCCAGTGGAGAAGTGGATCAAAGAAGAGGGGTTTGAGGAAAGGACCAAAAATCGAAGTCTTGTGATCCATGGTTGGGCTCCTCAGGTACTAATTCTGTCACACCCTGCAATTGGAGGGTTTTTAACACACTGCGGTTGGAACTCAACCTTGGAAGCAATATGTGCTGGTGTGCCAATGGTCACATGGCCTCTATTTGGGGACCAGTTTCTCAATGAGAAACTTATTGTGCAAATATTAAGAGTAGGAGTGAAGATTGGGGTGGAGGTTCCTGTGGAATGGGGTGAGGAAGAGGGAAAAGGCCTTTTGGTGAAGAAAGAAGATGTGGAGAGAGCAATTAATGAGTTGATGGATGAGACAAGGGAAAGTGAAGATATTAGAGAAAGGGTTAAAGAGCTTGCAGAAATGGCTGAGAAAGCTGTAGAAGAAGGTGGATCTTCTCACTCCAACGTGACATTCCTTATCCAAGATATCATGCAAAAAGCCAAGACAGATGCATAAATGATTTATAACACCAATGAATCAAGTATATTCCACTCCATTAGATCATGATGCAGCAAAAACTATTTAGCATATTTTGCTGTGCTTTATACAGAATGCTCCATCCCAACAAAACTATTTAGCATATTTTCATCTACACAACTATGACTTTGCTTAAATCAGTGAGTAATAATTTATTTTAACACCCAGAAAAACAAAATCAGTGAGAATGATAGCATAGTTTGCTACTATTGTAGTATGTGTGTACCATTTCTTTCCAAGATTTTATTCCACTTATTTATAAAGTATCTTCTTTTTAAAATATTGTAAGCTTTTTTTCACATATATATAATTAACAATAAATATGCTATTTACTGAAATAGCTTTGTTATCTAATATAAATATAAAGATTCATATAATTTATTTAAATATAAACTAAAAATTAATATTTCATTAAATTTAAGAAGAAAAGATTAATTTAAAAAATTAAAGAGTAAAACTAATATAGTTTCAGAACAAATTATGTTTGGGGAAACGTTTTGGTAAGGGAATTTAGAATAAAAAATAAGAGAGAAAATCAAATTAATTTCAATAAGTTAAAATAAGAGATGTTAAAATGGATTTTGTTTTCAAGTTCAATGTGCTTAAGTTGGATCAAACAATAAATTATGTGCTAAGTCATTTTATAAATTTTAAAATAATATTATATATATATATATATTAAAATTTATAAGTTAAATTATTATATCTAAAAAAATTAATTTTGTTAATATGATTTAAATTTTAAAATATATAATTTTTTTTAACTTTTTATGCTATTTAAAAAAAAAATTTAAGTTGGACAAAATGTTTATTAATTAAAAAAAAATCGAATCTATAAAATTATAATCGATATAAAATATGGATCGCGGTAAAAAAATTTAATAGTATTTTGTCGGATGAATCACTTTGCCACTCTGTTGAAAAGAGTTTACATCCCAGTTAAAAATCATATTTTAAATATTTAAGAATTCATTTAAACAAGTCTATAAAATTTTTAGTACAAGGGAAACGTAATTCGTTATCCCCAAATTATCTTAATTAATTTTATTGTAATATTTACCACTCTGGTGGAACGCTGGAGGCATATTACAATTCTCTTCAAGGATTGTGGAGAGAAATAGATTTTCGAAGGCCAAATCCAATGGTAAGTCCCGATGATGCTAAAAAATTTAGGGATTTATTACAAGATCATGTGTATACATTTCTGGATGGTCTTGATGATCGTTTGGATCATGTAAGAGGCTCTGTGCTCAAAATAAAGCCATTCCCTTCTCCTCAACAGTAATATGGTTATGTTGGAAGGGAGGATACACGGCAGAGTGTAATGCTCTTAAGCATTGATGTAGGATTGTTTGCAACAATGGCAACAAAGGGAGCATAACTTCAACAAATTGTTACAAAAAGAAGTGTATGGAATGGTGGTAAATATGACAAAAGGAAATCAAATGCTGAAGGTGGATGTGCACATTATGGGAACAAAAGGAAAACAAAGGAGGCGTGTTTCAAATTACATGGCTATATCTAGACTGGTGGCATGAACTCCAATCCAAGAAACAGGAGGAATTAGAAACAGCAAAGGTCTCCTTGGTATACACTGAATCTCAGTTATCACTTGTTACTCAAGTTAAACCTTCCTCAACCATAAACTGTGATCTAGGTATATATGCTGTACATACTTATCTTCTAACAATTATAGTAATGGAGGGTGGATCATAGACTCGGGCTACTGACCATATGACGTATTGTGGAAGTAATTTAGTAGAACATGCATTACCTAGACAATCTTGTATCATAAATGCTTATGGAGTCTCATACCCAGTGACAGGAACAAGGACGGTTAATTTTTCAAACCATATATCTCTGCCTAATACACTTCTTGTTCCCTCTTTATCTAGTAAACTTATTTCTGCACTACTGCAGAAAAGGCTTTTTACGTCGGTTAAAATGAGTTTTCTACGTCGGTTAAAGCGGCGACATAGATACGGGGTCATAGAAAGTAAGACTTTCTACGTCGGTTAGTCAGGGAACCGACGTAGAAAGACTTACTTTCTATGAGCTATTCTGATCGGTCATAACTGGTTCTGATCGGTTATAGAGCTATTTTGATCGATCATAACTGATTCTGACCTGTCATATTACTTTCTATGTCGGTTAACACTGATAACCTATGTCGGTTAACACTGATAATCGACATAGAAAGTCTTACTTTCTAACTTTCTATAACCCCAGTATCTATATCGGTTAACAGTAACCGTGATTGTATGTGTTATCAATGTCGGTTATGCCTATAACCGACATAAAATGTTAAACTTTCTACGTCGGTTATGTCATTAAACGACGTAGAAAGTACTTTCTACGTCGGGTAATGACATAACCGAGCGTAGAAAGTGTTATTTTTTACGATATACGCATTTTCTTCACGAGATGCTACCTTTCTTGAGTAGACACTGCCTATTCATCACGAGTTCCGGACAAATATTCACGAGATCCAAACACTTATGCAGACGAGATATGCACAGTTCATATATAGTTCCAGACGAGATATGTACATATGAAACATATTGAAATCAATATATGTACCTCGGTTCCAGGCAGTTCATTTACTTAAATGAATGTAAATTTGCTAACTTAAATCAATTCAATCAAAATTGTTACAAGTCAAATTTGCTATGAAGATTGAATACTTAAAAGGAAAGAAGCCCACTGCTCTCTAATATCGTCTAACACTTCAATCTTCATTGGAGATGAGTCTGTAAATTCCTACATATTGAAACATTTCAGATTTAGAAACCATTTACATAATTGGCATATTTGACTTAATTATAGTATATTTACCTCCCTCCATGCCAATAATATTTTTGGCTACGATGGTGTGCATGTGCTTCATCACATAATACCCGCACTCATGGCTTCCCGGTTGGCGTGGACACTACAAGTTAAATACATGTCAGATTAACTTTAAATGACAAATTGAACAACAGTAAGAGGTGTTTGGTCACCTTTGGTGCAATATACGTCAACTTCTTTCTAGCATGAGATGGAAGGCCTTGCAACCTTAGGTGAGCTTCCAAAGCTGTACAAAAGGACAAATAATTTTGGTGTAAGTGCACATATGATACAACAATTAAAAAATCAATTAAAAAAACCAAACTTACGCATCTATGTGCTTTCTAATATCCAAATCATTTGGTTTCTTGTGTAATGAACACAAGAGAATCACAACAAATTGCCAAGGAACAATGATTAGGAGCTGCCAATGACCCCTGCATGTTGAAATAATATTAGTAAAATTTCAATTTTACATAAATGTGCATTAATTTATAAGATGTATACTTACTGATGCAAGTAAGGTGCTAAGTAGACTTCTTTGCCCCCCATTTTGAAATGTCTCTATTAAGTACGTTTGCACCTCTTCAGCTTTATTCCCAACGGAGTGAATGGCAACAGGGTAAACAAATCCATAGATAAAGGCAATCTTCCTCTCAACACACAAACGATGTAAATACCTTCAACATTGAAAATAAATAAAGTTATAAAATAATGTACCAGTGAGAATATAAAAAATATGTAAATATACTTACAATTCCCAAAGCTGCAACATCGATACACATAGCATATCGAGTACCGCGAGAAGATCAAAAATATCCCTTTGGAGTAAGAACAAAGGGATCGTCTGAGGTCCTGCATACGACTTCGGGTGGCATATCTAAGCTGTATGGGAGTGGTCACGATAGTTGCTTGCTAGTGCACCGAGTCGTTGTAAAGCGATCGGTGGTGGTGGTGATTCATGCACAACTTCCTTTGCTTTTTCAGACCTCTTTCTATACAAGTACCAAAAATAAATAACATTAATATACATCAACCTATCAAAAAATAATAAGTAAAAGAGATAAATGCATGACACAACCTGTGCATGTGTTGGGATGGGTCTTGTTAATGAAGCTGGCCATAAGATAAAATTTCCAGTGCACTGTCCCATTTGTTTGAACCTCTTCGGTGGGAATAGGGATTGGGGCAGCAGCATCCTGGACATCTACAACCACCACTCTTATCATATCATGTCCAATACTCTGGTGGTGGATGGTTGACCCCAATGCATACATTTTCCCTAAGGTAAACAAATGATAAAATATTTTAGACTATGTAATGCTTAACAGTGTACCAAATACATATCAAAGATATAATACGTATTGTATGCCACCAAATGCTCGGGAGGACCCGCAACATACAACTCACGGTCGGCGGTGTCGGTAGGAGCAACCTCGCCCCTCTATCGGGAGCATCACAACTCTCCTTTGTGCTGACATGAATCGGGGATGCCTCTCGTGCGGGGACGGAAGGTTGAGAGGACAAAAATGCCAACTCCGCTCGCATTGAGCTCAATAACTCTGCCTTCAAGTCGAGTGCACCTCATCTCGAATCTCCTTCCTAATTTGTTGTTTGAGGGACTCAAACTCCAACTCATTCAGATGCCTCAAAGTAGGAGTTGCCACGGATGGGGCACCAAAGTACTGTCTAATGCCCACCCCTCGTCCGGGAGCACGAACACGTCCGGGATGCTGCGGGGTACCAATGGCCACTTGCCAATATATCCTGACGTCTATGTGGGTGGAATGATCCACTGAGTGCTCTGCTTCAACCAACTCATCCTAAAACACAAAGGAAGGATTTTTTAGCAAATACATATGCCTATTGCAGTATAACATATATAATTAGTTTAGGATATGCTACTTACAATACGTTGAGCTACAACATTAGTTTGCTCGGATAAGTAATTCCACGATGAGTTACGCGAGATCTCTTCCATTTATCATGGCGTGAAGGGCGAGTGACAACACTCACTGACCAGAGCTCATCCGAAGGATGACTTGAAGATGTCTCCTTCATCATCTTCTCCTCCAATTTCTCATAACCCCCACGAGACAACTCTGTGGGGGTGGATATTCTTTCTCCGAATATCCTATGCCTTCTGCAGCTTGGCTCTGTTGCATTCCATGTTAAATACCGATTTAAAACCTCTATTTAAAAAAAATGACTGCAAACAAATGACAAATGTGCTAACACTGAAACTTAGCGTCTAAACGCTGAGTCGAAATACTGCCATGTCTCCTCATCCAAAAGCGATCTCGGTCACATGGGTTCTTGTTGCTCAATGCCCCATATATGTATCGACTAGTCGAGATCACTCTTAAAACCTCTCCAGCGTTCCCCGGCATATGAGATCCACTTTGTCCTCAACAAAGTGGTGTTAGGGACATCATATGTGACCTACACAATAAAAATAACATGAAGTTCCCAAAAAGTTAAATATATATACATGTTAAATGCTCAATAAGAGTAGGTACCAGGATACTATGCCAAATCTGCGTCTTCGGTGTCTCGGAACATGGTCCCAATCCTCAATAAGAATACTAACCTTGCTTCTCCCAAGCAAGGCCACATAGCTAGTGAATCTAGCACTTGTGCTCTCTGTGGCTCTACCTGTTTGCATGTCAAGCTTGGATAGGCAATTTCGATCGGAGCTATGGGCGATATTCAAGTCCCTCAACCGTGTAGCATGCCTACCCTTTTCCTGGTAGACGGTCGACTACGATCACCACCTTGTGTAGGAGGGGGGGGGGGGAACTGTGTAGGAGGAGGGGTACCAGATAAATCTGCTATATCTGTGTTCAAAGAAAAAAATAATAGTTATTAATTTAGACAATATGATTGAAGATAAACAAAAAAGTGCATACATTAAAAAATAATACATTAAAAAAGTGCATACATTATCAAGTTGGAAATTCTCCCAAAATCCTTCCATATGGTCATAACGTGTGGCATGCACATCATCTATTTCTACATTAACACTCAAGTTTGGCATATTTGAAGAGAAACATGGTGTCTACGGTATATCAAGTACTAATTCATCATTCTCATGAGAAGTATACATGGGTTTTCCTTGTAGAACCACTTGACCATCCTTTGTTAGCGGGATCAGTGACATAAAACACTTGTTTTGCACGAGATGCCATGATAAATGGTTCTTCGGTATAACGAGTATTTTCAAGGTTAACCAAGGTAAATCCAAGATCGTCGGTGAAGATGTCGATATTAAAATCAACCCACTTACATTTAAAAATAGGTACTACGAATATCGTGTAATCTATTACCCAAATCTCTTCAATTACACCAAAGTAGCCCATTGGCGCAGTTATCGGATATTTATCCTTTGAACTCGAGAAATGCATTGATTCAGCCACCACCATGACTCCACTATTTTGCATTGTGCTTATTTCATCTTCTCCCTTTGTATAAAATGAATAGTTATTTATATCATACCCACCCCAACATATCACATCAAAGTTTGGCTCACATGCTAGCCACTTTAGTGTATCGAAAGTCTGTATTGTCACCTTCGACTTGTTGTTTAAACCACTTCAAAAAGCTTTTGTTGTTTTCGGTGATCACCCACTTTTTAGGCATACGTGGATTATTTCGCTTCACAATGTCTTTATGAGCACTTAAGTAGGGGATGACTTCTTCACTGTTATTCAAT